TGTTTCTAATACTGCTTCTGCTGATGTTGCTATCGTATACTATAGCTTATAGCCGTCGAGAGTTGCGTTGTATTACTCGAGTTAGCCGTTCGACGTTCTGTTTTATCTCGGTGATCCCGTACCTATTTCTCTTTTTTTTTTTTTTTTAACTTTTTTTTAAATTTTATATTTCAAATGCTGATCCATACAGATGAATACAGCTTTTGTATAAACGATGTATCAAATGTAGAAATTACTATCAAATAACAGAGGAAAAGTCATGTAGAACAAACATTTAAAAATTCATGAGAAACACAATTATAAGTGAAACTGCAGGCTCATCCGTAACTTTTACAATTTTTATATTAAAACTATTTTCTCTCAGAATTTTATGAAATTATGAAAAAAAAAAAAAACGTTTAGATTACAATGCCATAATGAAGAGATATTGTTTCAAAACCAAATAGATAGATTTAATGAGGAAACTATGATAACGAGGTAGGTTAGCCCAAGTTAACCAAAACAATTTATTGTCATAATAAAATTCTGACTGAAAACAAATGTTTATTGATGTCTTCATGAAATGGGTACATAAGTTTCACGTTCAAACAATAGATTATGCAGATGTAACTGTTTTCAAGTTATGTCAGTAAAATTTTTAATTGATTAACGCTGACGTGAATCGCACCTGTGACATGCAAGACTTCCAGGATGATGAAAAACGCGCGAGCATAGGTGGCACCCTGGGAAATGTCCTAAGTTCAGTTGTCTCGTATCCTTTTGGGTGTAAAAATGTCCACTTGCGTTGTAGTTGCTGTCGTACACGGTGTTGACATGTCTATTAGTATTACTCGTTCGAGTAAAAGGGCTTACGCACATGTTACAGGTGTTGGTTTGCTTCGTAGCCACGTGCCTTGTGGGATCATTGCTTCTGACGAAAATTTGCGAGCACAGGCTACAACGATCGGTGTGCCAGTAAACTACATGCATCTCGAGATCGAATCTTTTGTTGAACGATGCGGAACATTTCCTGCACCAGAACAACTTGTTGTCAATGTCAGCACTTTTGTACATGATGTGTTGCAGAAGCCGCAAATTAAATTTAGTTGTATGGGCAAAGTTTATGGCTTCTCCTTCCTTTTCGCTGATATTGAGAGCCGTGGGAGATACTAAAAAAAATAGCAATGATTTTAATTTAACAAAAAAATCCAGCCACGTAAATCTCAATTATTAGAATGATGCGTTATGATTATTAAAAATGAAGTCACTTTCATGGCAAAGTATATTTTGAAATAATAAACTCACCGATCTATTTTAAGGTTTTCGATGTTATGTCGTTCAAACATCCACGTTGATCGTTTTGTTTAAATAATTATGCTCTAGATTTTTCGTGACACAAAAAGGTTATGTAAATCACTTACTGTAAATTTCACTTCTAACGTGTTTCTCGAGTTTAATAATTCATATACGTACCCTACCGTTTATAAACATTACCACAGTAATTTAGGCGAGGTATTTCAAAAACTACTTCTCGTGGCCACTTGTAAAACTTCGATCCATTCGGCTCACTTCTTCAAGAGCGAGTGATCCCCTACATGAAATTAATTTTCTTATTTGTTATCTACAAGACAGGTATGGTGAAAAATGTGTGAGGGGGTATTATCGGTATACATTGCGATACACCTTCAGGCGTGATAAGAAATGTTGAAACAAAATGAAGAGTTTCTTTTGGAAAGTATGATTATTGTAATGTAGGTCTTACACCGAAGGAAATTGAACTTCAAGAAAGTTTTTCTTTTAAAGAAAGTTACATATTTTTAAAAGGGATTTCTGAAATCCGTCCGTCAGCTGACAATGGTTTTTACCTGCTCTCTACATGCAAGAGAAGCAAATCAAAGAATTTTTTAAAACTTATTATAACAATGATCCTTTGTAAAAAAAATACGCATATTTTATAATACATGTATAAATAAAAAAATATTATACTAAAAATTTTATAAGTACTACAATTTGTGGTAATTACGATGTGTAAATAGGGTACTATTTCTTTGTTGAGAAAATAAAGCTGCAACCCACATCAGTTTAAAATTCTTGGACTGATTACATCAGAACTAATTAAAATTAATTAAAATATTACTTGATGGTATATCGAAATATACAATAACTTTTTAGTTAACAAAGGAAACACTTTGTCTATATCACAATGATCAAATCATTGATGAGGAGCATATATGATATTCGACGCGTGTCAATTTTATTCAAGTTAAACGTGAAACATCCACAGATACAGTATACGTACAGAACTAAAGCAATTTGACCGCATTTTTCTCTTTCACCGCAACAAGGTAATGTATAGAGTGCGGTATTCCTGCATACTCGGAGAACTGCAAATTTTTCCGATAAGAAATTTCAGGAAATTCTTCGAAGTCGTACACATATATTATACATAGACGAATAGATTTAGTCTTTTTACGAGCTGGTATATCAAGTATTTGAGATTCTGTGCACAAAAATCGGCTGAGTAGAAGGCGAGTCTTTTCTTCTTGTATGCAGGAAAAAGCACGTGTGTCCGAAATCAGATGTGAAAGCGGGAGTCATGATAAGACAACCTCGATAAATAGGTCAAGTTGGTAAACTGAAAGAGAGTGAGAGAGAGATAGAGAGAAAAAACAAGAAAGTGAATTGAGTTCAAGGTACACCGATGCGTCCTGCCGAGACATAATATATGTGCTCCAACGCGAAGCCTAGAAGGGAGTTGTATACTCTCTTACTGATTTACTTTTGACGACTGCGATTTATTATGTTATTTCTGATCTACTCACTTTCTCTTGGACATGAAGTAAGCGATGACTTTCCAAACAATTACAGATTATCATTGGCTATATAATCGTTACTGCGTAGGTTTTTAAGAACTACATCGAGCGTAATGTGAGCTTGTGCAGAGTAAAATTCGCGAATGTATCATCACAATACATGATTTAGATTTTTTAATTTGTAACAATTTAAAGGAATTTCAGGCACACTTAAATTTTTCCAATCATAGAAGCAATAAAACACGGGAGCGCCAGGAAGTAAGAAAGTTTTTGGTTTACTCAAAATTTTTGCATTTGGTTTACGTAAAATGAGATGTACAGGGCCACATAGGTTGGGTCCGACGCTAAGGTCTTATATACATCTCAGTCTGAATGTCATAATCATGTATTTGGTGTGACGTACACATAAAATACCAAAATACACTTTATCCCCTAAAAAATTTAAAAATAGGGCCACTAATTTTGTTGATTTTGTATTCTTTGAAACATATAATGTATGCATCACTTATTTCAAATCGAAAGATCAGCATAAACCATGTCATTCGCTACAACCCATCTGCAACCCACGTTAACTCTGCTAATATTTTCCAATCGATAGCCAATGTGCCACTCGTTCTCGCTTACATGCAAACATTCGCTCGCTCTCGTGAGTAGTAGCACCCAGTACTCGTACGCTCATATTTGTCCTGTCCCATCATCAGGTTATTGGCTCTGATAGTCCATGTTGGGTCTACACGTGTAGTGAACGGAGTAAAGTAGTTGTATGCACGTCACGCTTTTATTGGTGGTGAAGGAACGCAAACGTCAAAGAAAAAGAGGGAGAGAAATCGAGGATTTTCCTTTCGTCGCGGCAACATAGACGTTTACCGTTCGATTGATCGAGAGAAAGAGACGAAGCGAGGAGGAGGAGGAGGAGGGTTTTGTGTGCACTTGTGCTGTGGCTGCAACTCTTTCGGAAGATCGCCTTGGCCACTGTCACGTGTGTGCGGCTTTCAAGTCTCTCTCAATCCCTTCCTTTGGTGCCTAGATAACCATCTCCTACTCCCTCTTACCGTAAGTTCTTTTCTATTTGTTGTGCAGTAAAGGAGGAAAAGTCAAAGCTCCTTCCATTGGGTTGGACGTGAATTTTTTTTTAGTCGATCTATTCTGAGGTACCTGCAGTATTTGAGTTTATGTAATCACTGAAATTCCACTACCACATTTAAAAGAACTTTTTCTACAAGTCATGATTAATTATTTTTCAAATTCAACTGCAGTTCTTTATATAGTTTTAAAATATACCACGTACAAAAGCTGCATTTATAACAAGTACTGATGCAACAAAGTAATTTTTTCGATTGTCTTACATCAAGATAATATTGCTAGATAATTTCTTTTTAATAGTTCCATCGCTTCGTCTCCTTTTGGACCCTTTAGGAGATGGCCTGGTCCTTAATAGACATACATCACTAACCTAATATATCTGGAGTCACTCTCCTGGGTCTGTCGGTGGTTATAGCACACTTCGTGTCTCTTCATGGCACGTAATAAAGTAATCCTCTAAATCTACAACAATTACGATAGTTTGATAGATTCAAACGAGCTATCCCTAATTTGATTTCAACTCGGCTGATTATATTGTGATAACGACGTATCAAAAACTTAGCCAAAGTAATGATCGTCATCTTCAAAAACAGGACTGCACTTACTTCTCCCTTCCTTTTAACAAACATCTTTACAAGTTCAGAGTCCGTAACTCATTTTCGAATCCAAGGTGGGCGGTCCTTTCTCCACGAAACAGCCAAAGTTCGGTCGGGCTGTGTTTGCACAGCAATAATTACGTCGAGCGTCTCTCCGATATTTCTTCATACCTCCCTTCAACTTAAATATAGTTTGTATTTCGCATGACGTGGGAAGTTTTACACCTTTAGTACAATGTTAAAGTAGGTGATAGTTGGACGTTCGTGGGTACGATTAATTATGATTAACAGTCTTCCCGGTGGAGTATGCGCTATATCTGCGTATTCGTAAGTTTGGGAGTTCCCACAACGGAGGACGGGGTATTGTCGAGGGTGGTAAGTTTGTTACGGATACGTCGAAGTGTTGAAATTCGAGTAATTTCCAAAATGATGATGATTACGGCTACCGATACTTGTGAACTATCGTTATTACTTTCTCTATACTTTCATCGTTTACTTCACGGAATATGTTATAAAGAACCACATGTTGTTCATCATATTGTGTATTTTATAACTGTTACACGGCAAAGAATATTTTTACATAATCAAATTTGTTAGCACTCCAACGGAAAGTCTTTTTAACAACTTGACGCATGGATTGTTATTAATTATAAAGTTTTTTACAGAGAGGTGAATTTAAGAACATTTTAATAACATATTCGTCATCACAAATCCCAAAAAATTATTTCTGGTATTTATTTCATTTAGGTTGACACAACAACAACGATATTCGTGTATTAAAGATCGTAATGAGTAATTTCATATTTTCAAATTTGTATAATTAATAGATATCAATATTGTTCACGACTGCAGTAGAGTAGACACGAAACTCAACCCAAAATCAACAATCCATGGGTATAACCAACGAAAATGAATAAATACAACTCCCCATCTCGTGAAAATCTCAAACGCACCAAAATCAATCACGTTAATGGATTCAAAGCCACAAAAGCCAATCGTCGTGACAACCACACGAATGCGTGAAAAACGTATTTACCATAGTGACGTAGAAACCTAACGCAAACACAGACGCGTGCATATACAGAGCAAAGTGCCGCGTGCACCGTCATATCGACGACAGTAACATTTGCCGAGCGCAAATACGCCGCGAGCTTATCTGCCCGTTGGATTACACGTTACGTAGTAGTCCAGTAGTCCAGCCTCGCGCATGTCGATCAGCGTATCGACCAGTCGGTCAGTCAGTGGCTCGCCGCCCCCCGTGATGTTTAGCCTCTCGATCGCCTCGTCCACGTCGTCCAGTAGATCGTTGTTTTTTGCGTACTCCGTCATTATCGGCAGGAAAAAGATTGATATCACGTAGCCCAGGATAGCCGACTTTTTGAAGTCCTCGACGAACGCCTCGTACGAGTACTTTACCGGGTCCCAGATCTTTTGGTCCTTCAAGTACTGGGCGAGCTCGCCGTGATAGATTTGAAACAGTTCTCTGAAAGAAGAAGGACTTATCATATCGAGGTAATTGTATTTTGATCACTACTTTGAGTGGTACGTAAAACAATAATGAATAATAATTCCTACGTATACGAGAAATGGACGTCAAGTGGAGCCGTACTAAAGTGTAATTCACGCGTACAGTCGAACCTACCGAAACCGCGTTTTGAGGTCGAGCCTGGAGGCGCTCATGTAGAGAAAAGTCGAGACGTCGGTGGCGGGCGACGAGTACATGACGAGCGCAAAGTCGACGAGCATCGCCTCGCGACGGGCCAGGCTCTCCGACCACCTGAACAGCATGTTGTTGACAGTGCAGTCACCGTGGACAATGGTAGCCAGAGGCTCGCGCGGCTCGACGCTCCTCATCATCACGTTCGAGTGGCAGTTCTCCAAGAGCCTCGCCACCTCGGCCGTGAACACCCGGTCCTCCTCGGAGACGAGTCTGGTCGATCGGGTCAGGGCGCGCGACACCCGGGCCACGCGTTTGTTCACATTCTTGGCGTAAACGGCGGTCTTTCGCTCGTCCAATGGGTCGTAACGGATGTTGATGATACCACCGACGATTTCGCGGAACTTGGCTGGCCGCAGCTCCTTCAAGGTGTACGTCCGACCGTGGAAACGGGCCAGCGATCGTAGGCCCGCTGCGAGGTAGTCCTGCTGGAGGTCGAACTTATCCGGGCAGACGGAGTAGCCTCGCGAGCACACGTTCTCCAGGACTATGACCTTATCGAAGACCGGTACCTCGCCACCTTTTGTCAAACACACACCTTTGTCCTTCAATTCGGGTTTAATGGAGTAGCGCTTGTGGACAATGAGCTTTTTTTTTAATTGTGACATGGGTGAAGAGAAGCGATTTTACATAATACCAACAGAAGTAGCACTGCGGATAGTCGGAGCTTCCAGCTGCGAGTCTCTGGTAGAAGAGTATCTCGTTGGAAAACAGGTAGTTGTAGTTCTGACGCTTGCGGACGTTGGGATCCTGGGCGGGCAGTTTCACCAGTAGGCACCGCTCCACGGGAGCACCGCGTAACCGAATGGTCGCGAAAAACAGGTCAGAGAGGAAAAATGAGCCCTTGGGCCTGGTGACCTTACACTCATCGACGTTGGCGCACTCCTCGCCAAAGACACCGGCCAGTCGGGGGATCAAGTGGTCCTGCAGCCACGCGATTATCTTTGGATCGAGATCCTTCATTGTCCTTCTTCTTCTCCTCCTTCAGTGTTGAATATTCAACGCTCGCTTTACTTCCACGAAGCGAATAAAGATGTTTTCCGACTGCCGGCTCGGTTGTTGTCGCGAGTTTTGCGTGCTGGAATTGTAAATCACGACGGTCATGTGACTCGAGAGAACACGAGAATTTTTACGGACACGTCGACTCCGATACGTTATCAGCGCTACTGAGCGCTGCTTACGCAACGAGTCTACTGTTTCATTGGATTTTTTGTACTTTTTTGCTAGTTATCGTTCAATTTTTTATAAGTCCAACTGTATTTCTAGATTACATTTTTTTATTTTTCCTTCTTTTTTTTTTCTAAACTGTGTAGGCTTACGTAACGAATAATACTCAGCTGTGATTAAATGCCAAATACTATGATATACGTGAGATCGCAGATAGGGAATTCTAGAGCGAGTATCGCATGTTTGCACTTGCAGGTCTTATCTTTTGCGCTGCAACTCTGCACGCTTGGAACAATGGAAAAAAAACAACAACAACAAAAAAAACAAATCAGATGCACCGAGACATCGGTGTGATTTCTGTTCACGATTTTTCCAAAGTATCTCCATTCCTGGCATGATAATTGCTTATTGTGCAACACAAAAACACGACGAGTGAAATCACCAACCCACGCAGCTCTGATGAAAACACACACGCAGCAGCAGGAGCGTGCGAGTCCAAAGAAAACGTCGATACTTCTTCCGTCCCCCTCGGCATACCCGTCCAAACGTTTAACTCCCCGGTGCTTTTGACGACGATGTAAAAAAAAGGAAAAAAAAAAAAAAAAGAAAGGGGAAAAAAGCACCCCGATTACATTTGTGCACGCAAAACCGGACCACCCTCTCGCGTGCTGTGTGCGTGTACGTGTGTACCGTATTTACCCGCACACCCGCAGCATTGGGGGGATCGATAAAAGTTGTCGGGTCTAAAGAGGTTAGCACCTGTGGCCATTAAATGCTGAATAGCCGTGGGTGGCTCGAGGATAATGCCACTCCGTGGCTTTCTTTGGTACCTTATCCTACACGTTCTGTTGGACAATAATTGACTAATAATTAAACGTTGAATGTCCCACTTGGCAGCACAAATTTGCGGGATTGTAGCCGAGGGTATCGATTAAATTACATTACCAACATTACATCTAGACATTACGGCTGAACGACTGAAAGAATCAAACGACATCTCACAGGGAGAAAAGGCTTCCACTCTACATGGTACGTGCAATTAATCGTGCGCCCTTTTGTGCAGTATTCGTTAATTTTCTATTCCAGCCAATCCCAATCCACTTAAATGTTCCGTCCTAGCCAAGTGGTGCTTCCAAGGCACTTTTCTTTGCACAAAAGAGCTCGTGACGGGGTCATCTCGGACTTTCAAAAAGCGCCATCACTCTTTGAGCCTCGAAGCGTGGAAACGAGCGTCCGGCATAACGAAGCGTGGTGCACGGAGCATAGATCGAACTACCGCCTACCTTTGCTCGTGTCCCCGATCGCAGCCCCCCTCGAACGATTCACGAGAGAGTGACTCGCATTGTGTCCCATCGCAACTGTGTATATCGCTCGTCGACAGCTAGTCTATATATTCTTGTACCTTGTGCACGTGTATTATACACATATGTATATACGTGTAGAGAGCGCGTCCCTTTCTCGCGACAATGTGCACCCAACAGCCGGCACCTGTTTGCATAAGAATCGACGGGTGGGCTGCTGCACAAAAGAGCCTCATCTCCCTATCTGTGAGAGCCTGTTGAGATAACGAGGCCGCCGAAACAAAAGTGCCGCCTATCTAGTGTTGTCGTCGTCGTCGGCTGTGCTGTTGAGGTGGTGCTCGACCCGAGTGTGAAAGCGAGACGGAAGGGGAGACAGGGAAAGACGAGAACTACACTTGGACTCACAAAAGAACCAAGATTCCGGGGGGAGGGGGGAGGGTAGGTTCTGGGAACTTCTGGAGTCTTGGATCGTTTCACGAGGGGAATTTTTATTTTTGTTGTTGTTCTTATTTTCAAGGTAGCTCTTACAAGTGGGTGATTATTTTGGCTATTGCTCGTTGGAACCAATTAAATATAAAATCGGTATCAGCTGCCTTTCAATATTTTTTTTTTTTTATACGATTTACTTGTACATCTATACGTTTTGGTGTCATACTTTTCAAGGAGATTTCGTAACGAAATTGGTCAATGGGAGTTTACTTTATCGATAAAATCTATAATTTCTTGGTTACATCTACGTTGGTTATTTTGAGGGAATTTCAATAACTTATAAAGATCGAAGCTCTGTTGCATCTCCATCTATAGTATATTTCCACTTTTAAGTTATACTTACCTACAATTATAATGATATAACAACGAAAATTCGTTTGTTGGATGAAATTGATCCCTTCCTCGTGAGTTGAGTAAAAATTCTTGCAAGAGAAAAACAAAGAAAATACCATTAGAGCGCCTTCAGCCTTCGCTTCATTCCAGTCAATCGAACACGCATTCGAGCTTTTTCACGACTCACGACAATTTCCCACTGTGTCACAAGCCCCAAGTAAACTACTTTTCCAAACTCTTCCCTCGCCGAGTAAACTATACGCGCAATGAACCGGCAAGTGTTGAGGACCATTAATCGGCGATGGTCGTTAATCATCCGTTCGGACCAGCTCGACCGAGAGGCATATTAACCAACCCCACCGATTCTCCATCATCACTCACGTACCTCACAATCTCCGGGAAAACGCTTCTTTTTGCGCATCCTTGCGCGAGTATTTCAACGCATATAATACCCCCCCAATCATCGATGGCTTCGCCAGATACCCGGAGCAATTTATCTAATAAACCAAATTGAATCTCACCCACGCCCCCTTTTCTCCGTTTCCCTTTTTACCGGGACTCCGCTCTGTTAATCCAGCCATGGAGTAACTCCCGTTTCCAGCATTACTCCAATTACCAATGCGTGCGCGAGTATTTTTTTTTATTCCACCCACTTTATATTTTACCAATTTTCCGCAGCTCTGATTATCGCCCCTGGGTACAATCGCACGGAGAAAAGACTCCTTTTATCAGGTAAAATCTCTTTATTGCGCTGCCGAGTCCTAGCGCTCGCTCTTCACCGGCGATTCGTTAAATTTTGCTGGAAGCCAAAGAGAAAAACAAAAAGCGGCGTTGCGCGCCATTTAAGGGTTCTTTTCTCGAAAACTCGGCCGATCGGCGATCGATCGGAAACTTGGACGGTGAAAGTTCTCGGGACGCTTTCGCGCCTGTTTGAGTGTGTACATACGCGCAAGTTTCGCTCCGACGCCTCCCCGTACCTTTTTTTCAGTTCGAACGAGTGATGTGTTTGTACATGCGGAGCTCGTTGGGGGTAGGTATGCTATTATCGATGCATAGGTTGACAGGGGGTGAGATTTATACGGGCGCGTGGGATTGGGGTACGATGAATTATGGCTTTACGAGTATTTAATGGATTTATTCGCACTGGAAGTTGTAAGAATCTGTCACGATTAGAGATGGGGGGCTTTTTTTTTTTTTTAATTAAATACGACATTTGTTTGTAAATATTAGCTTTTAATCTTAAAGATAGGACAAAAAACGTGGTATATCTCGAGAATGGCATTTCTGATATTGTTTTGAAAACCAATTTTGAAAGAGGGATTTTTTTGTTTTCCTAAAAATAGAGTCTAAATTTTAAAGTAAAAACAAATACGTTTCTATGGTAGTCAGTGTTAGCATTGCGTAGAGGTGATAATGTCTGATGTGTTGGGCTATAGTCATGGGAAAATAATCTAGTGAAATCCTGACTATTGAAAGTGATAAGTATAATAAGTAGCACTGAACGCCAACAGAGTCATTATTTAGTTACAAGTTTTGTAATGATTCAGCTCACGGAGACTTGCATTTTGGGAGTTTTAATGGCCCTGAATAAGTTTTATTTTTTTATTTTGCAAACATCTCCATTATATGACGGGACAAAGTATCGCTAGAGAAAAATCATTTTTCACATATCTGTTTAACCAGCATTGGATCCCCGTCAATAAAAACCAATATCAAACAGAAAACCGTCAAATAGATAATACTTCAGGATCGAATCGCACGCCCCGCCCAGTGCCATTAACTCGATAATAAACCGTAACGGCTGCTCATAAAGTAAAAAAACCTAAGGTCATCTATTTTTCGCTCCACGTCTCAAGCTACGTCTTTCTATTATCTCTCCGTTCTCGTACATCGCTCCTTCCGATTTCGGCCTCCACTCACCTACTTTAGAAAAATTCCTTCCTGTTTCTTACACATCCATGACTACATGTATATATATATATATATATATTTGTACCCTCGTACGTCACTCCCTCACATATATTTCTTCGTTTCACATCGACATTCCAGCTATACTTACGACCTAAAAATATTTTACGACCTCGAGCAGTGCCAGCTGTAGAAGCTCGTGGGCCGTAAAATCTAAAAATTTAAGAGCAGATTTTCACGCCCGACTCGCCCCTTCAACCACTCACTCACTCACCCACTCGCTAACTTATTCCCGTCTCTGAAATATACACGAGTACACGAGCTCTCACGAGCAGTACAAACTCGCTCGAATGCTGTCTACGTGTGCACTCTGTGCGTATACGTAAAAAAAAAAAAAAAAAAAATACACTAGGCCAAAAAAATTTTTTATTGACATTGAAACCCCCGAGAGTCTCGATCCCTCCTCTCGAAAGAAGGAGGCAGCAGACGATGCCCTCGTATAAAGGCTCGAGGGGGGGGGGGCTTTAGCGCCTAATGGAGCATCGCTGCGCGAGATAACGAAAGAGCTCGTCTTTCCCTCCCTCTCTCTTGCACGCGCTTGCGCTCTAATGGATCTTTGATCGGCGCTCTCCAAGAAGCTAACGTGCGAAGTGACGGGACACGTACAACACCTGAGGTATTTGTACGTCCCACCTCTCTCCTCTTTCTGCTCTTGAATGAACTTTAAACCTTTAGCGCTGCCGGTTAATTCATTCGACCTGAATTTCGTCCGCTGCTCAAAGAAAAAAGCTGCGAAGATAAGGCTAAAGAGGCCTTCCCCCTCTTCACAGAAAATACATCAGCGTAATATTACTTTTAAATGATTACGGGTGATGCTTCCCTGATCTGGCTTGCTCGGTGGGATGAGAGGATTATCCGATAGAAGGTTACATGAATCGCTTCCTCGATAAAATTTGTTGTGGTCGAATAAACTGACAAAGACTCCCCAAGATTTATCAGTTGAGGTTTCTCTGCTCTCGTTGGATGGTAAATTTGGATGATACATTTTATTTTTGAATTTTAAATGAAAGAAGTTTGAAGTATTTTAGTAGCCCTTCTTTTATTCAACGTTGCAATAACTAGTTACGAGCATCGATTGGTTACAGAAAAGAGTAAATTTTTTTTGTTTTTTTTTTTAGTCCTTGTAAAATTTCAGAGCGGTTGTATACATTAATGTGTATTTCGTTAGACATTTTATTGTGAAGTTATTATCTTGCACATAGGCTCTTTCTTTTACACGATACTTAGAGTAATACACCTAAAATTTAGCCAATAAATCTATGGCTTCTTTTTTCAAATTATAATTAGCATTGTCTTATTTACTTCATTTTACTATTATGCACATTGACTTGACGAGTAATTTGCGTTTTTTAATGTTATAAAAATAGTTTTAGTACAAAAATTAGTAAAAAATCATTTTTTTTTTTTAGTTGATCAAACTCTATTATGTGATTCTTGATAAGAGTCAAACAGCTTTGGAATTCATGTAACTGATCACATTTTATTTTTACTAGTACGCTTCCTTCGATTATGTATACTTATCAACTTCAGTTATGTGAAAATCAAAATCCCTTTGATTAATTAGTGGTCGTCTGACTAAACTTGGGTATTACTACTTAATTCCAAGATTACAAAAATAGACACATTTAACATCGTTATAATCAAAAAATTGTACTTTAATCTACATTTAATTGACTCAAGCCGAAACAAGCATCAAATAAAAGCTCATAAACATGCACGTGTGCCCAATCATCGTACCTATTACCGTCTACAAATTCAATACCTCCTTATTCTTTCGTCCAGTGATTCAATAGCTTTCCTCGCACTCATAAAAGTTTTCAGACACATCAAATCGTATTGAGTCATCATATAATTTCACGAGATCCCAGCAGCAGTGAAAAATTCCGCACGAGCTCGCGTTTGACTACAGCCCACACGAGTCCTGCGGGAAAATATATCCTCTCGCGCCTACCAACCCCTCGGTGCTCAGACATTCGTAACCACATGGGATATGGCCCTTACATCATGCTTTTTCCTGCACGTACTAGAAGGTCTTGCACCGTAACGTCTTTATTTTCCACTTTCTTGAAATTTAAAGACGGTGTGGGTGCGGCCGAAATGGCTACCATAGTCTGGGAGGAAGTGCGTGGCCCTCGAGGTTGCATGCCCTGTGAGCTTTGCACAACGTTTTGGTTGGAAATTTCATCGTCTGTAGAGTTTATTTCTTATTAACCCATTTATTTCAATTTGTGGACGAATTTGTAATTGCGATTTTACACTTATTACGCATTTCAGATCAGAATGTAATGAATAGTGCTTGATTTGGAAAATAAACTGTGCCCTTTGCATGTACACGCAGATAAAAAGATCGAGGTCAAAAAGTTCGTATTCACATGCATTCACAAACTTAACCAGACAGCTTTTTTTTTCTTTCATTTTCTTTCAAGGAAAAAGTTCTTTCAGGGTGGAAAAAGAGAATTAGCTGTCATTTCACGTTAAGTCCGAGCTTTTTCACCTTTTCTTTTTTTTTTTTGTTTTTTATGTGAAAAATTTCAGGCAGCTTGAGAATTTTGTAAAAATCTTTCTTTGTCAACAAACTCGTGAAACTGTGCATGAAAAGTATGTAAACATTAAACAACTAGGTCGACGAAAGTGTCATAGAAAACAGTTTCTAGCGGAAAAGTAATTTATTTCGTTACGATGAACAATTATTTTTTAGTTAAATTTTAATCATTCAAAAACATAGTTACTCTAAAGATTATAGCTTGAGTACGTGAGTCAAGTACATTTCTAACTACACACTCGACGGGGGGTCCATTATTTTTTGGTCTTTTAATTTGTCTGGAGTAAAGTACAAACAAACAAACAGAAAAATCAAGCTCCAATAAACACCGTGTGCACTTGATTTTTCCCCTACTCGCGTATACACAAGAATTTTTTTTTTTTTATCGCGATCTAATTCCTCAACGAAACAATCCACACAACCAAGTTTGATACCACACACCAACCACCGCTCATTCTCGAAAAGAGTCGAACGGGAGAGCTTTCACTTAGCAAAGACTGCACGACCAATAGTGGCGAATTATAATGATTACTCGATGCTCAAACGCTGGATGCGATAGTATTGTATGCATGTGTCGATTTCAATTAAACAAAGTCACATTGGCTGCGACGAGAATTATTGGCGAGGATACACTTTACGCTAAATGGCTCTTTCAGAGAGACGCCGCTGTTGTTTATTGGCGCTTTTGGGTGCAGCGATCGTAAAATAAAGCAGCTGGCTGCTCCGATCGCGTAATGTACTATCATCACGATACGGGGTTGAATGTACTTTTCAATCGGGCTGGAGACGTTTAAGGCTAGTTTATGCGGATTTGGTTTTAGGGTTTGCAATGGTATTGCTTTCGGTTTGGGGTTTTCGGGGGGTATTGTAGCGATAAACATTATTTATCAATGACTGTAGGTATTGTAGATGGTTTGAATTGAAACTATGGAAAAGTACTTGAAACTGAATTTTATTAACTTTCCTCTATTTTTATGATGTCTAGACTGAAGGTGGATTAATTAATTTTTGTTTGATTCCAGTGGGCTACAGCTTCGGTATGCACCCGGCAGGTGGTAGCAAAACTGCAAACACAAACCAGAACACACTGGACGAGATTTTGCGGACGGGCCCGTACTTTGACAAGTCAGCGTCGAAAAACGTGACGGCTCTGCTGGGAAAGACGACTTACCTCAATTGCCGGGTGAAAAATCTTGGTAACAAAACGGTAAGTGGCGAATTTTCGTGCTTTACTTTATAACATTTATAGATACAAAATCTATGAGAAAATTTTTTCGGATAAATACTTGCGCGTGCACGAGCGAGTCGTAAAACTGTATCTCACAACATTGGCTCCATGGCGTTTCTATGGAAAAGATGAGAGAAAAAAAAAATAAATAAATAAAAAAAAAAATAAAAAATAAAAAAAACAGAGCAACGCTGACCTGATTAACGAGCTTCTCCGAAATTTGGAAACAAAGCGTTTACCCTGTTGCGATTGACACAAGAGCAAAGGGAAAGAAAATAACATAAAGCGACGATGGGGGGAGCAAAAAAAATCTTGACGATGGAGAATTTTCAATCTCACAGCCAATATTCCCTGCCTCTCTCCTCTCCTGTTTTACGTCGCAGCTGACAGCGTCCAGCTAGCTGTACGAAGCGGCAGCATTTGCGCGATTTCTCAGCTGCCTTCAAAAATAAGATTCGATTCTCCGCGCCGCGTCCATATGACCTCATATACGTGTGTGTCAGGGTGTGCAACCCCGGAAATTGCAGCGCGAGCGCACAGTATACGGTGGCAGTACAGGGCATTACATGGGAAGGCGTGAGAGCTTTTTTCTCCCTCCTTTCTTTTCCCTGCACGTAGCTTCTTCCCGCTGTTGGGGACGATATCGTGAATTTGTCTTATCACTGCAGGGCGCCGGGAACATTTTGCGACGTCAAGTGCAGAGTTCCGGTACTCGCTTTTCGCTCGAAAGTGTGTATTTCAGTCTTTTGCCGAAGCAATCTTTTTTATTTCATTTTTCTTCTTTTAGTATACATGCATGTATTTCCAGTACCGCGCAGCGAACTTGGCATGGACGCCGAGGCTCCGATGTGTACCTTGAATTTATAGCTCGTCAAATGTAGACTGTCAATATTTGACACCGAAATTTCGTCCCTTCGTTATGCCCCGAGGAAAAACTTTTATTTCTCATTCGTAAGTGCGACGGAAGTTTTGAAATCACGCTCGTCGTAAAACTTTGTACGATCAGTCTGAAATGTACTTTTTAGCGATGACAAATTGGAATCCGTAATCTTTGTGTGATCTTAAAAAAAAAAAAAAAATAGGTCGAACACGTAGAATCGTCCGGTTCTCATACCAAATACGAATACCAGCTTTCCCCGTATTCGATCTGAAAATTTTTCGTCTTGGTTTCTTTTTTACTTGAGTACACGTTCCACCTGCATTAGCGCCGGAGAAAATTTCGCTCCCACCCCTCGGCAAATATTTGCATTCAATTAATTAACTCTCAGCAGATCGAACTCCCCTATTCTGCTTTCTTTTTTTTCTTTTTTTTTTTTTTTTCACGAAATTCACGTAATTTTCATTTCCTCGAACCTTTCTCTTTACCCTCCCAATGGCGATCCATCCGAACGAGCCAACAGTAATTTCCTTCTCTTCATCAGCATTTCAATCGCGCGACACCATACTTTTATTCCTTCGAAGATCACAAAATTTCTCGTTTAAAAAATTCATTTAAAACCAAGCAGAGCCTCAAGTACCCAAACAAACGCGGACAAAAATCCGTACAGCTCTCATCGAATGACCCGAGAAATCGGTCAAAGTTCACTTGGCCTATGGCCACTCAAACACTTGTCCGGGTCCATTTCCCAAAGTACATACGCACCAGTCTCGCTGGACATATTTGCCTCTACTCGCATGTCAGGATCCGAAGGAGTGAGCTGCATTGCATTGGATTATCAGCGCCAACAGTGCCCTTACCAGCTTCTGAATCGTTAATTACTAATTTTCGTCTCCCGTCGTCGCTCATCTCGATTCCGGGGTGATTCGTATGCGTATCGGCGCCTGTTTACCTTCACCGTACTCCTCGACCACTCGTATCGGGGATTCGCAGAAATCGACACCTACACTGCGAGCTGTCCACGGGGTTTCGTGATGACCTGTCGACCGGGCAATATTGTCCTTTGGTGCGAGGAAAAAATGTCGAGTCTCTTGCAGAAGGAAAATGGAGACAGGCTTCTTTCGTTATACGTGTGCACTTTTCGAAAAATTCAATTACCAAAGGAGTAGTAGGTAGCTACACCACCACCATCATCTTCTAGCTCGCAAGTTCAATGTGAAATTACAGGGCACTCTAACGCACCGTAGGGAGCCAGGACCCATCAAGATAAATAAAACTGTTCTATAGTTACAGGACAGAGCAGCACTTCTCTCCATCGGGCGCATCCGGATCTCCCTCTCTCTTTTCTTTCCTACTTTTCTCTCCTGGCCCGCCTTGGTAATGCCTTTATCCCGTGCGAGCAAGGCTCCAACACGTTTGAGGAGGAAACTGAAGGCGGAAACTAGAGAACCTTCGACGTGAGCTGAAACTCAAATTTTAAGTTCGCACACGTACAGAGCCGACACGCTCGACATTGATAACGCTTCGTTCTCTTTCTCGGCTGAACACTTTTTAACAAGAACTTTTACAGGGATCGAGTTTTAAACGCGGAAATTTCGAGTTTGCCGGTAAGAGAGCCAACAAAAATACGAATCAGGGGAAAAAATTTTTTCAGCGATTGGTTATCAATTCTATCTGGGAAATTGGTTCATACGCATTTTTGTTTTATTGTTTTATTCGTTGTTTTGATATTGAATTGACGCTTACTTTTGTTGTAAATTGTTGACGATAGAGTTTCGAGAAACAAGTTTGGATGAAGATATGATTTTTCGTAGTCTACAATAAATCGTAGTACCCAGCTTTAGTGGCTTTAAAACATCTTCATGGATGCTTATACCCCCAAGTTATTTCTGATCTCTGTATACCGATGTAATTTGATGATTGGCTGCTTTATTGAAAAAAAATTGTTTTCTCATTTCTAACTTACCTTAAAAAGCTTACAGCACTTCTTAACATTACAACAGAATTGCAATAAAAGCCATTAAATATCAATTTTTACCTTCATTTTTTGCTAATCATTGAACCACTATGACCTTTGTATGGGATTGCTTTAATGGTAATTTAATTGATTGTGAAGCACCAAAGTCATTATCCGAAGAATTTATTAAAATCTATTTCTCACGGTAACTCAGCATATACTCCTGTAATGAGTTACGAAGTAGTAAGACCAGTCTATTCTTTTTAAAACGTGATTCTTGCAAGATTCTACAGGTACACGACCAAGACGCAAATGTATAGATCCAAGGGAATATGGTAGAAAAAAAAATTCACTAGCATTCATTACACGAGACAAACACGCACAAAAAAATCTCAAGTTGAAAAGGATCTACCTATTGTATGAAATTAAAGGAGAGGGAGAAAGAGAGCCATCACTCCCTCCGTGAGCGCATTGATGTAGAGTGATGGGTCGTCAAGAGGTCTATAAGTATTCGTAATGGGTCATTAATCTTGATCAGGACGTGATAAAGTTTTTTTCCGCCCTCGGGTGGTTTTGGGAGGCTGGTACTTCCTCGGGCAAAAAAGCAGTTTTCCGGAACTCGTTCGAAAAGTCTCCTTTACGAACCCCGTAATGGACCTCGCCTTCGGCTCGGGCCGCAAACCTCTCGGTTCGCAAACAGAGACTTTTCAAACTCGTAGGAAAACTACCATTTTTTCAAAGCTACCGAACCAAACTCGTTTCCCGCATACACATACCCTCTTTATTTACTCTAACTTGTAGGTATAAATGTTGAGGCTTCCAAACGTCTTTGTTATCGAAAGAGAATCTTCAAAGTTCTTGGACTGTATATTCTGCAGTATTGTAAACAAAAAATAAATTGACCATTGAATTTTCAAATAAGTTCTTAGGTAAATGCTCAGAATAGCACGTTGTATCAATAAATTAAGAAAACGAGTATAACAGTTGTTATCCTGAAATTTTATCAGGATTTTTTTAAAGAAAAATTCGAGTTATATTTTTCAAGAATTTATTTGAAAAAAAAAAAAAAAAAAAAAAAAAAATTTCATTAAAATCCCATAGGAGCTACAGCAAAATACGTGTCCTATCAAGATCGAATAAAAAAGTGGCAAGAATCTTACATACACAGCACCTTTATCCCTTTCGATAATTTTTACACACGAAAAACAAATCTCAGGAGACGATGTTGGAACGATGGAGCTTCACCAATATTCGAAGAAAGTTTTTCATAGCTTTTTTCACAATGTATCCCATTTTATCTCCACCCACGATTTAACGGATGTTTTTATCTAGCATAATTCACATTCAACATTTGCTCAGACCGACGTCAGTCGAGAATAAATCCTCATACGGCACGAATATCAATATAATACATTTTTAATCTCTACATCGAACGTGCCGATGAATAACTTTCAAAGCTATGTAAGCTCAAAACGTGTTTAGGAAAAAATAATGGCACACTCGCGGAAAACGAGGCAATGCTCGTAACGAGGTCGGTGTTGTGTACACGCGAGTAAGGGCCAGTTAAATTTTTTCCCCAGTTATTAAAAATGAAAACAAAGAGAGCCGGAATTTTAAAAAACAAAAAGAGCTGGAATTTTGCGCGCACCTACGTGGCAAAATCGAAATCCAGGAATTTCTTTGCCGGTAGGTGTCGGGAGAGAATGGAAATACCGAGGCAGGGCAGAATTAGCTCACGGTACAGTAGAAGCAGAATTTGTTTGCGGTTTTACTAATTCAGGGGGTAGAGGGGCTGCTCGTGTTTCTGGCATGAATTTTCCGCTTTCCATCTCCCTTCTCCGCACACCCGAGCGCATGTTTCGGATTCTCTTTCTCATTCGCACAGGGCACTTCGATTCGTTAATTTACGGAATGCCGCGAGCTATTGCGGGGGCAGTGGCAGTTGCCTTGAATCGATGGCAGGTATCTGTTTTTGGACCAACACGCTGGGAGTTTCGGGTTTTTTACTCATCAAGCTTTACTTCGTTATCTCTATGTGTGTGAGCTGCCCCTGTGGTGAGCATCTCCATTATTTGGATTGATCAACGTGTATTGGGTAACTTGGATTTTTTTATTTTCCTAGCCTGAGCTCAAGTACTGGTGCAC